ATATTGGAGTCTCTGGGTTTAGGGATAACAAAAGCAGGACGTCCCTTTAAGGGTGCCTCAAAGGGTTCCCTCAAAAGGATACCTTTCAAGGATTGATAGCAAAAACAACGTCCCTTTAAGGGTTCCGTAAAAGGTTCCCTTTAAAGGATACCTTTAAAGGATACTATATAAGTGTAGTATAACCTTGTATCACAAACTAATCAGGGTTTTGGGGTTGCCAGGGTCCTGGGAAGTGAAGTATCACTGCGAACACTCTTCTTGGATCCCAGCCAAAAACAGGCAACCTACCTTCTGGTTTGTTTGAGGGACATATGTTTTGAGCAACTATCATCATGAGCCCTTTTAAACCCGGAGTGAAAGCGGACCTGAAACACTGCTATGTTCGTGGGTAGTTTCAAGTACCGCGACCGCACCTGGTGCGGGAAGCTGTCCGACCTCGGCGATTCGCCGGCAGGCAGCCACGCGATGTCCAAGACCCCGTCGCCACCCAGGACGACGTAACGCACCCCATCGTCCGCAGGCAAGCGACTGCCAGGCTCCCATTTGTTTCCTGGGCTTCGGTGAAGGAAGCTACTTTCAGTGAGCCTAACCCAAGGACCTGCTTCTTAGGACTCATAGGGCTCTAGGAAAAAGCTTTTATCCATATCTCTTGCATATCCCTATCATGTTGACTTCTACGCAGCTCCTCAAGAGGAGCCCAGTTTCGGAGGCGCGTCTGCTTCCTCCAGACGGGATGCCCTCGGACCTGTAGCAGTGGCACGGCCGACCAGTCGCCATTCAAGTCATGAAGGGTAGAAGAATCTGTCGTGGATCCAATGGCGGGGCCATGTCCACCGAAGGTGGCATCGCCAGGAATGCCGGAGATCCGCAAGATTGGAAAGTCTTGTATTAGGATTTCAAGCTCCGCAGCCTCGCCCTCGCCAGCAAACTCGCCCAGTGTCGTCGCTGAGCCGGGAAAGAAGCAGCGACTGCCCTTCACGAGCTTGAAGTTGTTGTGGCCGGTGCTTGCCACCACAGCAAGAGCCGCCTCCATCGCAGTCCACGAGGAGTCCCCGACAATCTCTGCCACGGTGCCCCCGCTCACCACATTTCGCAGGCACAGGAGAAGCTGCGGCATTGGTGTGGCAAGGGCTTCTGCCCCAAGTGCGGGAAGCTCCCTCGCAGAGTGCTGTTCACTTGTCAAAGAAGCCTCCTAAACCCTAAATCCTAAACCCTAAACCCAAGCACCTGGGTGAAAGTTTAGGAATTGTGGCCTGGGACCTTTCGGTAGCTTGAAACAAGGCTTTTCTGTGGCTTTGAGGGTGCTTGGAGGATCACGAAACTGAGTATACTTAGCTACCTTTCTTGAAGCCTTTACTCCTAGTATACGAAATCTGGGGCTATAGGTGGCTAGAAAAAGTAGATACGATTTCTATAACATGATCCGATGAGTAAGCTACATGCTGGCACACTACCATGCTTTGCTCCGCAGTCAGCTCTTCTGTCTCGGTTCGAGACGAGGCACGCCGCAAGAAAAACCATAAGCCTACACTCTTAACCATAACCCTAAACCCGAAACACTGAAACCTACACCACAAACCCAAACCCCATAGGGTTTGGGTTCGGGTTTAGGTTTAGGAGTTTGCAGTTTCCATGAACCCTACCAAGGGGCCTGCGCCCAAGCACCATGGCCCCAGAAAGACTGACATACTGTTGATGATAGAAATCCTGCATGACCTTAAGGACCCTAAACCATGGTTATTGTGGAATATTCCTTATTCTGGGTACTGCAGGCTTTATATCATCAACCCTAAACCCTAAACCCTAAACCCTAAACCCTAAACCCTAAACCCTAAACCCTAAACCCTAAACCCGTCGTGTTGAGGGACCAGGGTTTACCCTAAACCCTAAACCCTAAAACGGCTTAGGGTTTAGGGGTTTAGGGTTTAGGGTTTAGGGTTTAGGGTTTAGGGTTTAGGGTTTAGGGTTCAGGGCTTAGGGACCTCCTAAGTGCCCCAGCCCGTAATCCAAGTGGGATTACTTGACCTTGCATGCAAAATCGCGGAAGCCCGTCCTTTGGAGTGGGATATTACATGATATTGCTAGATATTGTGTGTATATATATATATATAATCATTACCATAAGAAGACTAGTACTGATATACATAATAGAATAAGCAGAATAGTCAGAAGAATAGTGAAAATAGTAGTTGTTGTAGCAGTAGCAGTAGCAGTAGCAGTAGTAGTAGTAGTAGTCGTCGTCGTCGTCGTCGTCGTCGTCATCGTAGTCGTAGTCGTAGCCGCAGCCGTAGCCGTAGCCGTAGCTGTAGTCGTAGTCGTAGCCGTAGCCGTAGCCGTAGTCGTAGTCGTGGTCGTAGTCCTAGTACTAGTAGTACTAGTAGTAGTAGTAGTAGTAGTAGTAGTAGTACTACTACTACTACTACTACTACTACTACTACTACTGCTACTGCTACTACTACGAGTCCTAGTAGTGGTACTGGTACTGGTACTGGTACTGGTAGTAGTA